GGTTTGATTTCACACTCTCATACATTCCGGGTACGAAGAATGTGAAGGCAGACGCACTGTCTCGGGTGTATGACACAGAGGAGAGGCCCAGAGACAACACCCCCATACTCCCGGCCTCATGCATTGTGGCGCCGGTAGTATGGGCGATGGACGCAGATATAGGGCCTAATGAATTTATTTCAGTTGACTGATTTCCTTATATGAAATGTAACTCAGTAAAATCTTTGAAATTGTTGCATGTTGCATTTATATTTTTGTTCAATGTAAATTAAACAAATTAAATGAATGAAAATAAAACATAACGTTTAGCACACATTCATTTTCATCAAGCCTGTCTTGAGCATTTGGCCAAAAATTTGGTATTTTATTAAGATCCCCATTGTTCATGCACCGCGGGAAAAACCTTTTGGCATGGCAAATCCAAGCTTGACATTGATCTGCATTGATGTCGTCACATGCCTCATCCATGACCAGAAGGAGGGTGGCACACTCATGGGGATGGCGATCGTACACCTTCCAATTCCATGCTGAATGGGGGCAGGTATAGGGTCACAGATCGGGGATGGGCCCAAAACCATGCCTGAACCACCTCTGCATGGTGGAACCTAACATTGTCCCACAGAATGACATAGGTGACCCCTTCACCTTGACAGGCCTGTTTAATTTAATTGAGAAACACAATGAGGTGTGCAGCGTTGTAGGATCCAATGTAGCCTACGTCCTACCACACCATCTTCAGAGATAGCTGCGCACATGAAGATGTTTCCCCCACGTTGTCCAGGCACTTGGACAGTCACTCGTTGGCCGATGAGGTTCTGCCCACGGCACTGAGTTTTGGCTAGGTTGAAGCCTGCTTCATCAACAAAGATATACTTGTGATGGTTCACAGCAGCATCAAGCACCCTCTAAAAATATATTTTGAAAGTATAGTTCCAATAGGATGTTGTGAAGTAGCATGTGCATCAAATAGTAACAGTAATACAGTATATAGTGCTGTACCTGAACATACTCGGCCTGCAGTTGTTTCACCCGGTCGTTGTTTCTCTCAAAAGGCACCAGGTAAATGTATTTCATAGATACCTGGTGCCTCTTCAAAAGGCGGGCGATTGTTGGTAGGCTGATGGATGCCACATTGGCAAAGGTGTCATTGTTCTCCTCAACGGCCTGCTTTATTTCGAACAGCCGTATGTCAATCCTGGCCTTCACCATTTCCACCACTGCCCACTCCTGCTGGTTGGTCAGCACACGGCCACGGCCACCACCATGTGGTCTTCTGTCAATTCTGAGGGTAGAACAGAGAATACTGTCAATAGATCATACTGTAAGAATACTGTAACATGTTTTGTGAATTTAAATGCATTACAATATGTAATGTACTGTAAAGGTAAAGCGTATCTTTTTTTTCTTTTATGGCTTTTTAGTGATATCCAATTGGTAGTTACAGTCTTTTCCCATCGCTGCAACTCCCATACGGACTCGGGAGAGGCGAAGGTCGAGAGCCATGCGTCCTCCGAAACACAACCCTGCCAAGCCGCACTGCTTCTTAACACACTGTTGACTTAACCCGGAAGCCAGCTGCACCAATGTGTCAGAGGAAACACCTTACAGCTAGCGACCGAAGTCAGCTTGCAGGCGCCCGGCCCACCACAAGGAGTCGCTAGAATGCAATGGGACAAGGAAATCCCAACCGGCGAAACCCTCCCCTAACCCGGACGACGCTGGGTCAATTGTGCGCCGCCTCATGGGTCTCCCGGTCACGGCCAGCTGTGACACAGCCAGGGATCGAACCCGGGTCTGTAGTGATGCCTTAGACTGCTGCGCCACTCGGGAGGCCCCATACCCACCTATTTGAACTCTTTGATGGGCCCATGTCCACGAGCTCTTTCATTTATTCTTCTCCCTTGCTGTCTATCCTGCTCCATGTTGAAAGAAATTGCAAGTGTTCACACACCCTTTTATATGGTGACCAATTGTGGTTACCACTATGTGAAATCAATTAGCAATAACAAGTAGTCATTATGTATGGTTATCATGTATTCTACATGTAATTTAGATGTTTATACTTTACAAACACACATTTTTATTTCTGTAGTTCTCAAAATCCATATATAGTAGACAAACCAGTTTAAAATCTATAGGTTTACCAAATGGTTAAGTGAATACCCATTAAGAGCAGTTGTATTAAGTGATGGTCAAATGTATTTAAACAAATGAGAAGAGAATCATATGAAAAGTATTGTGAGCATTGCATTGTGAAAGGCAATTACTTTATATGAAAGGTACAGTATTTCTAAATGTAACACTGATTAGGTTTGGTGAAAAAGTTACTGTGTAATTTTATGTGTTGTACTTAGTCAATTGAAAATGTGCTTAAAGTTTTGAAAAAACAGCCTTTTTGATGATCTGTTTTGAGTTTTGTACTAAGAGTTGTGAAATTTTACCACATAGCGACAAAAAAAAATACTGTAATAGACCCACACCAAACCTTTCATATTTCCCCAACCAGCTAAACAGGGCTCATCTGGAAAATAGACCTTGGTCTCAGGATTGACTTCCTGTCAAAATAATGGTGAAATAAAAAAGAAAAGGTAATCACAAATATGAGTGTTGGGTGGATGAGAAGTTCACATATTGACATTTAACATCTCAAACCTTTTGACTTGAAAAGGAACCTCAAGCTGCCATGAAGTTCCAGCAAGCGCTATTCTCCACATCCTGTGGCCTAATTGGGTAGGATGATTGGGGGCCAGTGTTCGCTAGATATTGAGGTGGCATTTCGCTGGAGAATTCCCCTGGTTCCACTAAGACCAGCCCGCTGTTCCTTCCTCCTTCCTTCATTTATCAATGTCTGCCTGCTTTTGCTGAGTAGTTTGTTTTTGCCCTTCGCACAATATATCACCTGTCATGTCTAATAGGAGTACACTGAACCCAGCCACATCCCATGGGTTCCTCTCTGCTTCCAGTTCCACCATTGCATCACCACAGATATAGATATATAACTTCTTTAATAGCTGTGTCTGCCTCTGCTTCTGCCTGCAACCTGCACCCCCACCCCACCTCTGAGTCCTTCTCCTCCATGTGCTGGCTTGAACATAAGCCAAAACGATCTATTTATGTAATATAAAGCAAATATTGATGTATTTAAAGTCCCATAAACCACCTGAAATCCACAATTTAGCAGAACTTTAGGGGTAATGTTAGTCAGTGCATCTATACTGAACAAAAATATAAACGCAACATGTAAATTGTTGGTCCCATGTTTCATGAGCTGAAATCAAATATCCCCGAAATGTTCCATACGCACAAAAAGCTTATTTCTCTCAAATGTTGTGCACACATTTGTTTACATCCCTGTTAGTGAGCATTACTTTTTTGCCAAGATAATCCATCCACCTGACAGGTGTGGCATATCAAGAAGCTGATTAAACAGTATGATCATTACACATGTGCACCTTGTGCTGGGGACAATAAAAGGCCACTTTAAAACTTGCAGTTTTGTCACACAACACAATGCCACAGATGTCTCAAGTTTTGAGGGAGCTTGCAATTGTCATGCTGACTGCAGGAATGTCCACCAGAGCTGTTGCCAGAGAATGTAATGTTCATTTCTCTACCATAAGCAACCTCCGATATCATTTTTGAGAATTTGGCAGTACCTCCAAGACCATGTGTATGGTGTCGTGTGGGCGAGCGCTTTGCTGATGTCAATGTTGTGAACAGAGTGCCCCATGGTGGCGGTGGGGTTATGGTATGAGCAGGCATAAGCTACGGTCAACAAACACAATTGCATTTTATCGATGGCAGTTTGAATGCACAGAGATACTGTGACGAGATCCTGAGGCCCATTGTGAGGCCCATTTTTTAAAGGTATCTGTGACCAACAGATGCATTTCTGTATTCCCAGTCACGTGAAATCCATAGATTAGGGCCTAATGAATTTATTTCAATTGACTGATTTCCTTACATGAACTGTAACTCAGTAAAATGTTTGAAATTGTGCATGTTGCGTTTATATTTTTGTTCAGTATAATTGCAAATAGATAATTGGGTTTAGAGTCTGAGAACTCAGCATTCACAGTCCTGGCTGTCTGATTGTGAGGTGCTTATGTTGTTTCCTTTCCCCTCTGTATAGGCCTATTGGCTTCTTATAAGTGAAGTGACTCTTCACTTTTTCTGTATGTTAGTGATTATATTGTTTGTGATTGAGAGTTTTATATTACTGATTGTACATAGAGATAATATGACATTTGAAAGGTGGTATCATTTTTCTACAGTGTGGTTTTAATCTGTCTTCACATATTGTTGACATATTATCTTGCAGAAGCTCAAAGATTTAGGGGAAAGACAGTAACTAATTCTGATAACTCTCATCTCTTATACTGATGCTTGTAGAATGCGGACATCCCGGAAGCTCGCGCCTGCTGTCAAAATGGAGACGCTGGTGGTTTCCACTTGCCAGGAAGTGGGGCGAATGAAGTCAGAGAGGAAGAGGCGAAGCGAGAGGGATAACTGGGCCCAAAATCTGTCTACTCTAGCAGGTGTCTTTTATTTTCGCTCACCAAGCAATGCATTTTTGTCTGGAGACCAATGAGTGTTGAATTTGGTTAACAAACAAATAGAATGGTTTATTTGCTACGTGTTGCTTATTTGATCGAATAGAAGTTTCGTAATGTTTAGGTTGTTATGAGTGTACTGATTTAAGTAGGACACCTAACATCCAAGAAACTTTGAGAAAAAACTTTATATCGGAGTTGGGCCTGGGCATCGCTAGTTTAAGCACAACCACAGCCATAAACCCCGTCTATTTCTACAATGTATCTTCTTAAAATGTGATTTTAACCCTAACCACACTTCTAACTTTATGCCCAACCCTAACTTTAAATTAAAAACTGATTATAAAAATAAAAAAAATCATTATGTTTATGATATAGTTGTTCACACGCGTATCTGCTCTCTCATTGGCTAGAATGGCCCCACCTGATCTGGCCACTTCCCGAACGCCTTCCATTTTTAAAGACAGTTATTTTCATTGACAGAGCGGCCACCAGAGTATCTGGTCAATATAATGGATAATCTGTGATGAAATTCATTTTTCACAGTTGGTGATGGCGGATGTTGTCGAAATCGACACCATGAAGAATTACCACATAGCCTTTGAGAGAATAGACCCAGATACGAGCCGTTACCCCTACTGTATCGTGTGGACACCTATCCCCGTGCTATCGTGAGTTCCCGGAGTAAACATGCATGTCTACTTTGTTTTGCGCGTGATCATAATGGGGCGAGTTATTGGTGACAGCTCGGAAACTAACGTTATCTAGCTGGCTAGCCAGTTGCTATCTCGGTTAGAAATGCCGATATGTTCCAAAAAAATTGTCTAATTTAAAACGGTGACTTTCCTTTTTCGACGGACTCAGTCAGGGACAGTTGACAGCATAGCCCCGTGGCTAGTTAGCCTTTGCTGGCTTCGTAAAAAGGCACACAGGCTAACTAGGTTACAATAACGTTAGCTACATGGCTACAAAATAATTAATCCAACCAGCTGGCTTTGTATCAAAGTGGCTTGAAACAATCTATCGGTTTCAGCGAAGCAAGTCGCTACATTGTGTCAAAGCCACGAGCTGCTACAGTTGTTCAAAGTGACGTCATCTTCACACACAGGTTGTAGGCTGCTGTATCATTGGCATTTTGCACATTATACGTTTTTATCAGGCTACCAAAACAAAATGGGCTAATTTCTATGGTTTAGCTGTTTCAAAACAGAAATGTATTTCATGAAATCACCAGTTATTTAGTCTACCTGTTAGCTATATTTAAATATGATTGTGGTGTAGTGTTGTAGGGAGTGTATTTTGGATCAAGGAGGAGACTGATACAGAATGTGTACTTAATGGAACCCTATTCCCTTTGGCTCTGGTCAAAATGTGTGCACTAAAGAGAATAGGGTGCCATTTGGGGCACACAGACAGTGCTCACCACCTGCTTTTTACCCAACAACTCACCTGCCCCACATAACATCTCACTGCTTAGTATTTAGGTCGGCCCGACTGCACTGCACTCTCTCCAGGAATCCTGTGAGATTAATATTGGATCAGGCATTATCTAGGATGCCTCATCTGTGCTGTGCCTCTCTCTCCTGCACCATTTCACTGTTGCAAAAGAACATCCCTTGAATGCATAATAGAAGGGGATCACTGGTATAAACCAATCATATGAATATGCTCTAGTGGGCTGCCAGATTTATGAGCATTTCTCAAGAGTTCAACATTCACCTTTTGCTACTATTTCTGTCAAGTCTACGAATACAATTTCATGCATACGTTGGATAAATCCAACGTATGCACCACACACAACGCACTGCAACTGCCTCAGCAACGCAATGCTGCAAGGCAAACGCAGCGTTTCATTTGAAATGAATGTACTTCTGGTGTACTAAAATGCATTGACGCTGTCGGTCTGATTGAGGCATTAGGGTTAGTGGCCGATACACTGCCCTGTCTGTTAATTTAATCAGTTGGGCTTTATCCCACCTTGGAACTGGAGAGAACCTTTGCTTTGAAAGTCATCCACAGTGAATACATTGTTGTGTAAATCACAAAGAACTCAACAATTAGTTATTTGTTTTATTTTATTGTGACAGTAAAGCAGACTATTATTTGACCTTTTAATGTCTATTTAAATCATATTATTCGTCTTATTCAGATGGCTGCTACCATTCATTGGACACATGGGAATCTGCACCTCTTCTGGTGTCATCCGGGACTTTGCTGGGCCCTACTTTGTCTCTGTGAGTACTTCTGTTCTACCTCTCCTCTCTTCTTCTGTTCTTTCTTTCCTCTTGTGTTCTTCCTCTCTTATGTTTTTTTTTCTCTCTACCCTCTTTTTCTTTTCTTTCTCTGAAGCGGCTGAAGGAAATTGACCCAGATAATTTGGTTGAAATCCTGATGGGACTAGACACACTACACACACTAGCATAGATTTAGGGCCCATTTCCCGGACCCAGATTAAGCCTACTCCTGTAGATTAATCTTGGTCGGGGGGAAACCGCCCGTCACTGTTCCAGGATGTTGAGCTTCGTCTGTAATACTTGTTATACCCAGACCTCATAAGAGTTGGTGAACAGATTTGGGAACAGGCAAGTATAAATCGGAAGAACTGGCTTTAAACCACATTGAAATATCTCTCGGCTGCCTGTAGTGAACTATAGATTTATATACAGTGCATTCGGAAAGTATTCAGACCCCTTTACTTTTTCCACATTTTGTTACGTTACAGCCTTATTCTAAAATTGATTAAATACACATTTTCCTCATCAATCTACACACAATACCCCATAATGACAAAGCTAAAACAGCTTCATAGAATCTTTTGCAAATGTATTCAAAATAAGAAACAGAAATACCTTATTTACATAAGTATTCAGACCCTTTGCTCTGAGACTCAAAATTGAGCTCAGGTGCGTCCTGTTTAGAGCTGTCCCCGAAAGTCGTCTGTCCAATTGGTCAACATTTTTAAACTGTTTATTTTTCTCCATATATAGACACACCCTATAAGTTTTAATAAAATTAACTGCAGAGAAGAATGGGAGAAACTCCCCAAATACAGGTGTGCCAAGCTTGTAGCATCATACCCAAGAAGATTCTAGACTGTAATCGCTGCCAAAGGTACTTCAACAAAGTACTGAGTAAAGGGACTCGACTGGGGACTAGGTTTCAAGAGTAGGTGTGTGTGTGTGTTTGCTCACTATTACATTGGCCTGCCTGGGAGAACTTGTCAGGGACATATAAGTCCCTTCAGGGATCAATAGAGAGTTCAATATGGTCTGTTAACTCTCTGAAGCTCCCCTATAAGCACACTGTGTTGGCCCCAAAAAGAAAATCCATTCTTTGGGATTGCTAAATTGAAAAAAAGTATCTATACCCATAGGATTACCCTGGTCTGTACAGGGATAAGAACTAGAGACCAAACCCCTCCCCCTCCACTTTCTCCAGCGTGAGCTTTTCTAAATGTTAGTGTAATATTTGTTGTAGCTCGGGGATGGGTACATGGCGGCTGCGGCCCCCCTTTGTAGGCCCGCTGATCAATTTCCAAAAGCGGGGTTGGGGGGTGGGGGGACTCAGTCGGGGTCTCAACTTACTGTTGAGCATTAGAATAGTAGAATGCTATAGTTGTGCATCAGCAGTTTTTATCTTGCTATGTCAGTCACTGACAGTCACTCAATTAGCCATGTCAGCGAAAAACATTTTTCTAGCCAGCTATCTAAACTTGTAGTAATCAGGATCGAATTACCGACTGGGTGGCCCCATTGATTCACTTAGGGTCCCCAAAAGTCTAGGGCCGGCTCTGACTGCATGTGTGGGTATGCAGACCAGCTAGCCACTGCGGTCACTCAGTGGAGGCTGCTGAGGGGAGGATGGCTCATAATAATGGCTGGAAAGGAGTATAATGGCTGGAATGGATTGAATGGAATGGTATCAAACGCATGAAAACCATGTTTGATACCATTCCATTCACTCTATTCCGGCCTCCACTGATGAGTTCAGATTTTGTGGCCCCCACCCCAGTCAAGGTTGCCCATCCCTGTTCTAGCTAGACAACTTGCTCTCTTTGTGGTGTTTGGAAGATCCCAGCTGTAAGCTTTGTAACTGTTCACTAGTTTTAATGGCCTCAGTGGGAATTCCATGATCTGATACACCTCTACCCCCTGTCCATGTTTTGTATTCCACTCCCAGCCAGCCTGGTTGGCAGAATCATAATAAAATAGGTTTATAAACACAGAGATCCTATATGTAATTATATGTTTCTAACACTCAAGGGTCTTTCATGGTTAAATAAATAAAATACAAATAAATTAGGACAGTAAGTGAAACTGCCCCAGGGGACAATTAGTGGGGTAAACTGTAACACGCACACACACCAATGCCAGGCTAGCACCTCCTCTGCTTCCTGTAGCACTTCAACACCTTATATGGTTTGTTGTTGATATCTACTGAATTTATTAACATTAAGATACCCCAAAAAGTGTGCTTTAGGGTGATTTAACATTTGTTTTTGCATCATTCATTAGGCTTGATATAATGAACGCATTGCCATTTATATTGCATATTATTTTCTTTGTGTTTTATTGCAGGAAGACAACATGGCCTTTGGGAGACCAACAAAGTAAGTAAATGGAATGTTTTTACATTTACATTTTAGTCATTTAGCAGACGCTCTTATCCAGAGCGACTTACAGTTAGTGAGTGCATACATTTTCATACTGGCCCCCCCGTGGGAAACGAACCCACAACCCTGGCGTTGCAAGCGCCATACTCTACCAACTGAGCTACAGGGGACTGTGTTTTGATTCTTATCCTGATGACTGAAATATTTATTATCCTCTTCATGGTCAAATCAGTAGAGGGATATTAAAACCTCAGCATCTTTTCTCAACATACAGTGGGGTCTGACATTATTGACAGCCTTGATAAAGATGAGCAATAATGACTGTATAAAATAAATCATTCATACTGGGCTATATTGTATGCAACAACAACAAAAAAACGTGAAATTCTATTATTTTATACTAATACAATTAGGATAATCCTGAATGAATCGTGAATTATGATCAGTGAGAAAGTTACAGATAGTCAAAGATCATACCCCGAAGACATGCTAACCTCCCCTGTTATTGTAATGGTGAGAGGTTAGCATGTCTTGGGGGTATGATCTTTGAACCTCTAACTTTCTCATGATTACTCACGATTCTTTCAGAATTATCCGTAATCATGGTAGCATCCACATTTAATGTAAATCAAATCTAAATTGATTTGTCACGTGCGCCGAATACAACAGGTGTAGACCTTACCGTGAAATGCTTACTTACAAGCCCTTAACCAACAATGCAGTTTTAAGAAAAATAAGAGTTAGAAAAGATTTACTAAATAAACTAAAGTAAAAAATAAAAGAGCAACAATAAAATAACGAGGCTATATACAGGGGATACCGGTTAGTCGAGATAATATAGGTAATATGTACATGTAGGTAGGGGTAAAGTGACTATGCATAGATAATAAACAGCGAGTAGCAGCAGCTTTAAAAAGTGGGGGGTCAATGCAAATAGCCATTTGATTAGCTGTTCAGCAGTCTTATGGCTTGGGGGTTGAAGCTGTTAAGAAGCCTTTTGGACCAAGACTTGGTGCTCCGGTACTGCTTGCCGTGCTGTAGCAGAGAGAACAGTCTATGACTAGGGTGGCTGTAGTCTTTGGCAATTTTTAGGACCTTCCTCTGACACCGCCTGGTATAGAGGTCCTGGATGGCAGGAAGCTTGGCCCCAGTGATGTACTGGGCCGTACGCACTACCCTCTGTAGCGTCTTGCGGTCGGAGGCCGAGCAGTTGCCGTACCAGGCGGTGATGTAAGTCGCTCTGGATAAGAGCGTCTGCTAAATGACTAAAAATGTAAAAATGTAAATGATGCAACCAGTCAGGATGCTCTCGATGGTGCAGCTGTAGAACGTTTTGAGGATCTGAGGACCCATGCCAAATCTTCTCAGTCTCCTGAGGGGGAAAAGGTGTTGTCATGCCTTCTTCACGACAGTCTTGTTGTGTTTGGACCATGACAGTTTGTTGGTGATGTGAACACCAAGGAACTTGAAGCTCTCAACCTGCTCCACTACAGCCCTGTCGATGAGAATGGGGGCGTGCTCGGCCCGCCTTTTCCTGTAGTCCAAGATCATCTCCTTTGTCTTGATCACGTTGAGGGAGAGGTTGTTATCCTGGCACCACACTGCCAGGTCTCTGACCTACTCCCTATAGGCTTTCTCATCGTTGTCGGTGATCAGGCCTACCACTGTTGTGTCGTTGGCAAACTTAATGATGGTGTTTGAGTCGTGCTTGGCCACGCAGTCATGTTGAACAGGGAGTACATGAGGGGACTAAGCACGCACCCCTGAGGTGCCCCTGTGTTGAGGATCAGCGTGGCAGATGTGTTGTTACCTACCCTTACCACCTGGGGGCGGCCCGTCAGGAAGTCCAGGATCCAGTTGCAGAGGGAGGTGTTTAGTCCCAGGGTCCATAGCTTAGTGATGAGCTTTGAGGGCACTATGGTGTTGAACGCTGAGCTGTAGTCAATGAACAGCATTCTCACATAGGTGTTCCTTTTGTCCAGGTGGGAAAAGGCAGAAGAAATGTTTAGAAACATATTCTGTTCTTATTTACAATAAAAGTGACTCTAAAATGACACAATACATTATTTACCATTAATTTCTATTGGGCACAAAATAATCTGCAAATGCATCCAACAAGTTTGTAGAGTCACACGCTTGATGTAGTCATTGCATGTTAACAATATGGGACCGAATCCTAAACTTTTGATACTTTATTTATTTTTTGTGTTTTTATTACTAGTTGAATAAACAATTATTTCTCAGAGCAATTGTACTAGTATACAATAATATAATTATTTTTTACAATTTTTATAATATACACAGAGTGTACAAAACATTAGGAACACCTTCCTAATATTTAGTTGCACCCCCCCTCTTTTGCCCTCAGAACAGCCTCAATTAGTCGGGGCATAGACTCTACAAGGTGTCAAAAGCGTTCCACAGGGATGCTGGCCCATGTTCACTCCAATGCTTCCCACAGTTGTCAAGTTGGCTGGATGTCGTTTGGGTGGTGGACCATTCTTGATACACACAGGAAACTGTTGAGTGTGAAACTCAGCAGCATTGTAGTTCTTGACACACTCAAACCGGTGCGCCTGGCACCTACTACCATACCCCGTTCAAAGGCACTTAAATATTTATTAGTTCCCATTCACCCTCTGAATGGCACGTATACACAATCCATGTCTCAAGGGTTAAAAATAATTTGTTAACCTGTCTCCCCTTCATCTACACTGATTTTAAAGTGGATTTAACAAGTGACATCAGTAAGGCATCATAGCTTTCACCTGGATTCACCTGGTCAGTCTGTCATGAAAAGAGCAGGTGTTCATAATGTTTTGTTTTGTCATTATTGCTCATCTTTATCAAGGTGTCAATCATTTCGGACCCCACTGTATCTAGAATTAAAGCATTTGTGCATTATTTATTATTTAAATGCAATTCTGAGAGAGAATATTGGTGCAGAGCAGTTAGCTTGGACCCAGATCTATTTGTGCAGTATACCCAACTCAAGACAGCACAAACAGATCTGGGACCAGGCTACAGAGTAGTAACTTTAGTTTCTATGTATTTGAAGGTACTGGATGCTGGACGTAGCCAAGGTGTATGCTAGTGGCTCCAACGCCTGGGACACAGCAGTGCGTGACGCCTCAGAGGAGTACAAAAACAGAATGGTAAGGAAATGTGGTGGGATTCTAGGTATCATAGATGCCATCTCCTGCTGTTGTGCAGGAGTGCTTAACCCCTAAACTGTTCCAGGGGTGCCGTTGATTATACTTCTCTCTCTCTCCAGCACAACCTCTGCTGTGACAACTGTCACTCCCATGTGGCCATGGCTCTGAACCTGATGCGTTACGAGAATAAGACCTCGTGGAACATGATCAATCTCTGTCTGCTCTCCCTAGTCCACGGCAAACATGTCAGGTACTGAGATACTGCTGCAAAATAGTTCCGGTCAAAAGAATCTCCTGCATTTGCATTGATGTTAAGAATTACCACAGTGTGACTGAACTTTTTTAGAGCCAGAACTGTATCTTACTTATGCTCCACAAAGCCATGCGAGGTAGGGCTGGATAATGGGTATGTGTACTCTCTGGGTCCCAGGGCCAGGCTGGATCTTAGAGGTTGCCATGGCGACCACCTGAGCCTCTGTGTAATTGATTACATGCGTGCGATCTCAAGCGTGTGCTGTCAAGACACTCTCTTATCTCTCTCCTTCCCCTTTTCTTTGCTCCCCGTCTGTATTGCCCACTCTCTTTGCCCTCCCCTCTCTGTCTCTCTGTGTTTCCCCTTTCCAGCTGTGCAGGGTTCCTGAAGACCTGGCTTCCCTTCCTCATGTTGCTGGGTATTATCCTGACTGTGGCTCTGACCATTAACCTGCGGTGACCAGCCAACCAGGTGGGAGGACACAGCTTATAGGGTGGTAAGGGGGAGGGACTCCTTGCAGGAGGGAGGCGAGGGAGATGGGGGTTGAGTGAGGTGAGCGCACACAGGGGGAAGGGGGACCCCCCTGCAGGTTGGAAGTTGAGGTGGGAGGTGTCACTCTACACCTACTCTACTCTGCTTGTGAGGAAAAAAAGACATGGAACTGTGACACCCCATCAACAAACCAACCAATGACAGGAGAATGAAGAGAAAGCCAAAACATCCTTCACTCAACTTAACACACAGCCTGCTTGTTTCTAGGATCAGGCAACCTGCTTTTCAATGGTGGTGGATGGCAATTTAGTTTTATGTTTATTTTGGGGTTGAGGTTAATTGTTCTTGATAGACAGTAGCTTACTTATGTTTTAATGCCCCCCACACACATCCCAACCCCATGAATTTGTATGCAATTTTCAAATGTTTTGATTTTCAATGAAGGTTTACTATGGGGGTATAGACCATCGTAACCATCCATTACTTAGAAATGATGAGGATGTTGCTGTTTCTGTAGACTAAAGGAGCAATGGTAGAGGGGCAGGGGTTGTTCTTTCTTTCAGGGGTAGTAGTCTTGTCTCCCACAGGGACAGCAGCATCCATGTCTTTCTCTCCTACCATACTGAAACAAACACCCACCATCCATCTAATGACATGGGACTATGATGATGATCCACTGACTTAGTGCTTCCCATACTCCATCTTGATGCTTCGAACAGAAAACATGATATTTCACTTTAATGCCTTTCAAGAAATGTGTTATTGCATTGGCATTTTACAGTTGGTTTGATACAGTTCCTATTACTGCAACTTTTAATAACCTGTGATTCACCAAGAGTGATTTGTTTCAATTAATTATATCTATTTACTACATTGGTGTGTATCCAGGATAATAATTCTCAAAACTCTGCTATAAGCAAGTGATGCTTCATATCTTGTATAATATCTATGAGTCTAATTTAACTGCTTGTATCTGCATCTTATTAAAATATTTGTATTTTTCTTAGAACTCTATTGACAATTATGTTTAGACCCGTTTTAATGATGTCTCTTTTCAAAACGGGATTACAGATTATAGATTTCAGATAATCTCATTAAGTGTATTGGATTATTCAGATACTTCCTACAGTGGCCATGGTAACCTCTGTGGAACCCTGGACTCATAACTCTGGACTGCAGATGGGAATGCAATGCATGATGTTTTGGAATGCTGCAGAGTTCATTTATGTTCTAGAATGTGAGCATGCCAAATGTAGACCTTTCCGGTCCCTACAGGAGAGGGATCACTGCTTTCTGATCCTTTCCACGCTCAAACTTCAACCTTAATGTGCCCCAGAAGAAAGAAGTACCTCTGAAAACTGGCTCTGTCTGGGTTATTGACAAAATGAAAGTAATTCGTATAGTTGGTGCCTGAAAAACAATTTATCTTCGATCATAGGTCTTCCTGGATAACGTGTATGTACATTAATGGCTCAACTACATTTTTAGACCTTACCATCTATATTGATTTTGTATGTAGTAGCCTACTTTCAAACACTAGCTAATCCTAGATCAGAGTTTCCCAAACTCGGTCCTGGGGCCCCCCTTGGATGCACATTTTGGTTTTTGCCCTAGCGCTACACAGCTGATTCAAATAACCAACTCATCATCAAGCGTTGATTATTTGAATCAGCTGTGTAGCGCTAGGGCAAAGACCAAAACGTGCACACGGGGGGCCCCAGGACCGCGTTTGGGAAACCCTGTCCTAGATGACGGTTGGCACACAAAATCCATTGCCATGACTTTCTTCTGCGGTAGCAGGATCAAATCCCCTCATTGTTTGGAGTGAAAGCGCTGAGCCTTGAGACTTTTTTTTCTTTATCCTCCAGGTTTACGCACCCATACCCTTGTCGCACTACCGAGCTGAACTGAACCGATGTAATGAGCTGGCCTGGTTACGCATTCAGCATAATGTGTAACCGTGCTGAAAATAACAATTACTGAGCCAGCACAGCTTGGTTTGGGTTGGCACGTTAGTGTGAGAAGCATACAAGTCTTTGGCTTAATATCCGGGAGTCTCCTCTCCTCCTGTGCCAGAGAAAGTGTCTCTCCTGCTGTCTCAGATGAGATTAGGACATTGTGAAATATCAATGCATCTCCATGTAGCCCTTTTCACATTCCTGCTTCTTTCTCACTTGTTGGACTTTATTATTTGAAATTCCATGTGATAGATGTTGATCTACTACTGCAATAACCCCAAATTGTATGTAAAAAAAATATAACGTATAGATTTGTATAGGAGGTCTTTAAAGATCCTTCTTTGTTTTCCATTACATTCACAGTCAAGGCAGTTTTACACTACTTCTGTAGCTGTTGGTGATTTTATGCCAAGATGCCAATTCTTTCCAGGATATTTACATTCCTTTGGTGTAGCTATACCTAGAGGTACTATGGCTTCTTTCTCATCTTTCTTTTCCCTTTCATGTTCATGTTCATGTGTAAATATTAGACCAAGTGATATTGTCTTAGGTTTGATTGTATAATCTCAAATATCCTGTTTAATTTTCTGTTTTAATTTATATTGTAAATTAACTATCCTTAGTTTTCTTCATGCTATACCGTACGATACAATATCATATCAAAACTCGTCACTGTTCTGCAATGAAGCAAATTTGTACCTGAATGCATGAGTGAGTGTGTATGTCAATAGAAGCGTATGGGTGTGTGCATGCATGAGGGGCGGTTGTGCATGTCCTGGCTGCATGTTCTATGTCTTTGTGGACATAAAACTATTTTCTTGAATCCTGTTTCTTTTTGGGGAATTGATGATAACTGCATATGATATTGGATGACTGCATATAACAATACATTTATATACACTTATTTATTACCACAAATGGTTTTCTAAAATGATGTGGTTGTCCATGATAGTATGTATGATAAAGGTATAGCACATAATAGACTAGAGTGTAACAGACCTTTTAAATGATCCATAGTTGACCCAGTTTCCCAGTCTTGATATTAATTGTGTCTACACTCTTAGAAAAAAGGGTTCCAAAAGGATTCTTCAGCTGTCCCCATAGGAGAACCCTTTTTGGTTCCACGTAGAACCCTCTGTGGAAAGGGTCCTACATGGAACCAAAAGGATTCTACCTGGAACCAAAAAGAGTTCTCCAACGAGTTTTCCTATGGACATCAGAGCAATCTTGAGGGAATCCTATTTGCGTCAGAAAATGATATTCATATGATAGGTAAACTATACAAAACCTTGTAGAGAGCATATCCAACTGACAATCTCTTAGGAAAAAATATAAATTATCGGAACCAAGACTTAAAAATAACTGATATTGGCACAAGATTGAGGGAATGTTGGAACATAACTAACGAGATTACAGTTAACTAAAATGAACGTTTAATCCAGTATAAATGTATGCATAGAATTTATTATACAAGTGACAACATTCACAAATTCTACAGCACAATGGCAGAGTCATGTCTGAAGTGTAAAACTAATAATGACTCAATAATTCTTCTGGGAATGTTATAAAGTCAAAAAGTTCTAGGCAGAGTTAGAAAATTGGCTGTCAGAAGTATTAGTGTAAATTTACTTTTAATCTGTCTTTCTTCTTATTTTAAGACGACATACTGTATGAGGGTGCAGTGAGCTACTCAATGGGTTGGACCATACTTTTCTCGCCAATCATCTTTTTTTAAATGTATACTTAAAGACTGGAAATCAACCAATCCTCCGTAATTTACACAATGGAAAGGTCAAATGCTTTATTATCTAAATGTTGAAAGTGTGTGTGCTACGGAGAGAAACAAAATGGTGCAGTTTGAGGCCATGTGGCATAAAGTGATGTGGGCGCTGGAGATGGGGGTGTGTGCTAGTGGGTCTGGGCGGGTGTGATGTAGATGTTTGTATGATGATGACGTTTGTATGTGTAAAATAATAAGAGTTCTCCAATGGGGACAGCCCTTTTAGGTTCTATGGTAGATGGCTCCTTTTTTCAAAGAGTGTAGGAGGTGCCATGTAATAGAAAGGTAGATTAAAACTAACAGTAGAAGGGTTGTCCCTCCTTCCTGACGTCATTGATGACTGATATTGTCGGTGAGTGATGAGGATCACCTGAGATGCAGGAGAATAGCTCTGCTCAGTGTGAACAAACCGACTGGGGCTTGTAGTTAAAGATGCATTCACAAACTTTTGTATTATTTCAGCCGGTAGTTTTGAAAACGGTGCTTAGGAACCAAAAATGGTCCCTGTTTTTTGTGTACTATGTCATCAAATTGTGTACTACGTCATCCATTTCGTATGATAAACTATAAACAGTGCATTTGGAAAGTATTCAGACCCCTTCCCTTTTTCCACATGTTGTTACCTTACATCCCCTCATCAATCTACACACAACACCCCATAATGACAAAGCAAAAACAGGTTTCCGAATGCACTGTATACAAAGGTATGTGGACACCCCTTCAAATTAGTGGATTTGGCTATTTCAGTCACACCCTTTGCTGACAGGTGTATAAAATCGAGCACACTGCCATGCAATCTCCATAGACAAACATTTGTCAGTGGAATGGCCTTACTGAAGAGCTCATTGACAGCCTCCCGAGTGGCGCAGCGGTCTAAGGCACTGCATTGCAGTGTTGCGGTGTCACTAAAGCCTGGGGTTCGATCCCAGGCTGTGTCACAACCGGCCATGACCGGGAGTCCCATAGGGCGGCGCACAATTGGCCCAGTGTTGTCCGGGTTAGGGGAGGGTTTGGCCGGGGGGGGGCTTTACTTGGCTCATCGCAGTCTAGCGACTCCTTATGGAGGGCTGGGCGCCTGCAGGCTGATTTCGGTCGTCAGTTGAATGGTGTTTCCTCTGACACATTGATGCAGCTGGCTTACAGGTTAAGCGAGCTGGGGTTAAGAAGCGTGGCTTTGCGGGTCAAGTTTCGAAGGACGCATGACTTGACCTTCGCCTCTCCTGAGCCCGTTGGGGAGTTGCAGCGATGAGACAAGATCGTAATCACATAATTGAGGAGAAAAAGAGGGTCAAAATTAAAAAAGAGCTCAGTGATCTTCAACGTGGCACCGTCACAGGATGCCACCTTGCCAACAAGTCAGTTGGTCAAATGTCTGCCCTGCTAGAGCTGCCCCGGTCAACTGGAAGTGCTGTTATTGTGAAGTGGGAATGTCTAGGAGCAGCAACGGCTTAGCCGCGAGGTGGTAGGCCACACAAGCTCACAGAACGTGACCTCTGAAGCGCGTAGCGCGTAAAAATGATCTGTCCTTGGTTGCAACACTCCCTACCGAGTTCCAAACTTCCTCTGGAAGCAACGTCAGCACAAGAACTGTTCGTCGGGAGCTTAATAAAATGTGTTCCCATGGCCGAGCAGCCGCACACAAGCCTAAAATCACCATGTGCAATGCCAAGCATTGGCTGTAGTGGTGTAAAACCCGCCGCCATTGGACTCTGGAGCAGTGGAAACGCGTTCTCTGGAGTGATGTATCACACTTGACCATCTAGCAGTCCGACAGACTAATCTGGGTTTGGCGGATGCCAGGAGAACGCTACCTGCCCCAATGCATAGTGCCAACTGTAAAGTTTGGTGGAGGAGGAATAATGGTCTGGGGCTGTTCTTCATGTTTCGGCTAGGCCCCTTAGTTCCAGTGAAGGGAAATCTTAACGATACAGCATACAGTGACATTCTAGATTATTCTGTGCTTCCAACTTTGTGGCAACAGTTTGGGGAAGGTCCTTTCCTGTTTCAGCATGACAATGTCCCCGTGCACAAAGCAAGGTCCATACAGAAATGGTTTGTTGAGATTGGTGTGGAAGAATTGACTGGCCTGCACAGAGCTCTGACCTCAGCCCCATCGAACACTTTTGGGATTAATTGGAACGCTGACTGCTAGCCAGGTCTAATTGCCCAACATCAGTGCCCGACCTCACTAATGCTTTTGTGGCTGAATGGAAGCAAGTCCCTGCAGCATTGTTCCAACATCTAGTGGAAAGCCTTCCCAAAAGAGGGGATGCTGTTATAGCAGCAAATGGGGGACCAACTCCATATTAATGCCCATGATTTTGGAATGAGATGTTCGACAAGTAGGTGTCCAAATACCTCTGGTCATGTAGTGAATGTTATGTCCTGCAAAAGAAAAAGTAACATGATTCGAAATGGATGACTTTGTATTATATGTTACAAATCCAATTCATACTATATGTTACTAATTTGTTGTGCTTAAGTGGAATTGATTTAGTTCTGGTAGGTGGACTCAATCTAGCCTGGTCCCAGATCTGTTTGTGCTGGCATGCCAATGGCCATAGGAGTTGGCTATCCAGAACAAACAGATCTGGGACCAGGCTAGTTGGCCTCTTTTCTTTTGTATTAGTATCCTTGGACAATGTCTATGCTAGATGATCATTCTCTCTATAGGTTGACTGAAGCACTGTTTATTTTGAGAATTTAGAGGCAAGATTGGATGTAAATTGTGGCCTTGATTCCATTCTGAAACCTTGCTCCTTTCCTCTAATGGAAAACCAAGGAGAAGAATGCATGTTTTTTGTGTGTGCAATGGAACCACTCCTATTTAAACTTGTACCAGAGTTCACTGGTTTGTTCTCGAATTCTGTTCTGTTCAAGAATCTGTTCTAGAATCAGTAATACTCTTCAGAGTGTAGTTGAATTGATATTTGATGTTCTTTCCCCTGGTTGTAACCAGGAGCTGGGTTGTGGAATGTGGACACCTGTGGTTTCACACATTCAGTCTGCTAACAAAAGACAGTTGGGATGCTATTATGACGGAGGGCCCATAATCATATAAAGTTATACAAAGCCTTACACCAATATCCTTCTTTTGTTATTTTAATCCCTTGAAATGTCACTATGCTGCTGAAGAGTTCAGTTTTCCCATGAAAGAATCAGAGTGAACTATGAATGTATTTAAATGACCTGTAACTATACCAATAAAGACGTTTATTATTGTAGACTATTTGTTTGTGAAGCATTTCTGAAGAAATAGTGCATACATTAGGCTACTATTCCTAGATCATATCACATTATCAAATCAAATCAAAATGTATTTGCCACATGCGCCGAATACAACAGGTGTAGACCTTACTGTGAAATGCTTACTTACAGGCCCTTAACCAACAATGCAGTTTTAAGAAAATAAAAAAAGTGTTAGGTAAAAAATAGAAATAGCAAATAATTAAAGAGCAGCAGTAAAATAAAATAACAGTAGGGAGGCTATATACAGGGGGGTACCGGTACAGAGTCAATGTGCGGGGGCACCGGTTAGTCGAGGTAATTGAGGTAATATGTACACGTGGGTAGAGTTAAAGTGACTATGCATAGATAATAAACAGAGTAGAAGCAGCGTAAAAGAGGGGTGGGGTGGGGGGTCAATGCAAATAGTCCGGGTAGCCATGATTAGCTGTTCAGGAGTTTTATGGCTTGGGGGTAGAAGCTGTTAAGAAACCTTTTGGACCTAGACTTGGCGCTCCGCATACAGCTTGCGGTGCCATAGCAGAGAGAACAGTCTATGACTAGGGTGGCTGGAGTCTTTGACAATTACTTATGTCTACTCATACAGCATAGGCTTATTAATTACTATATGCACTCAAAATTATAGTTAGACTAATTTGTGTCAAGGAGAAAAGGCTAATTGAAAAAAATTCACGCTAAATTTCAAGTGAATTTCACCGCTGTTCCAACCACTCCTATCGTCTTTCAGAGCTGACACTTGGCTATCAAAAGGACAACCTGGATTCAATTGCCATTTGTCATCATCCTGCAAACATCCTCTCTATGCTCTTTCCCTCTTTTTCTGTAGAGAGCATTGGTTTTTCTGTAGAGAGCATTGGGGGAGGAAGGGGGGGCAGACATCAGAGGCTCCGCTTCCCCTCCCTCTAAAAAGCATTGTTGATCTAATATCACCTAGAGTGAGAGAGGAGGGCACGTCTACCTCACACCATTTTATCTGCATTTTCTGTAGCGCAGCTTTTGATCTGCAAATGCTCGAAGGTGCATCCGTCTTTATTGATTTGGATAGATTAACTTTTCTCTTGTGGAATATGAAAAAGTTCTACACATAGCCTGTGTTCTTCATTGTTATAACATTGTCAAATACTTTGGCGCGTATTCAGATGTATTCAACTTGATGGCTCAAAATATAGAATTCATTAAGAACTTTACATTTTACACGTTGTTGATATGGACCCCATGGATGCTTATTAAGTGCCCCACAATAGTTCTAATCAAGTGTCATTCCACAAGGATCTGGGAATGTGTCCGTTCTTAATCATCTTCGTGCGTAGGCCTGTGCTTAATTCTGGCAATTTTGCGCTTCTGGTTATTATAACATATTGGTAGAATCTCTACCTGTCTATCGAATAGCATGAAGATAATAACTTATTTAATAATTATTTGGTAATAACCTATAAATAGGATCGTATGAGCTATATCCTAATAAAGTAATTATTTGAAGGCATAGGTTGCAAAACTAGCTCAAATCTATGAAGACACTGTACCAATTTCTACATGTTTGTCAAATTCATTAGTTGCATTTCTCTCTCCCGCCCAGTGTAGACCTAGCCTGCATGGTGTTAAAGTGGGAGTGCAGAAAGGCTCCGGACTGGGTGCGTGGAAAGCTGGAAAGCCCCTCCCCGCAGATTGTAGCCTACGATGCGATGGTGCTTTAATTTCATTGTTTGAGAGGAGCGACGCTCCGCTTGCATCCGCTGGGATCAAACAGCCCCGACAGCGAGATACCCTTTTGTCATGGAAATCAGACCCTGACTCTCAGTCACACGTGGGCTTCAGAAATGCTAAGAAGTTGAACATCCAGCCAGGACTTGTAATACAGAACAGAACGGGTCAAGGAGATGCTGAGTACAATCTGACCAGTGTACGACAGGACTCGCTCTCCACGTTTCACTCTCATCGGCAGTAGGATATATATATTTATATATAGCTAGTGCGCACAGTCAATGCTCTGTAGCACAGTCAGAGCACTGTAGCCTACAGCATATGCAGTGCACATGTATATATTTTGTCGCGCTTAGAAGTAGGCAAGAAGGTCGAGTTTGTTCTTCTTTTGAAATGGCAATCAAGTCCTTTTCCTTGAGTGTAATTCGCTCTGTATAGAATACTTTTTTTGTTTTCAATGTATAGAAACTATATTTATCACTGTTCTGGTATCGCGTAGCCTGTTTTTCCAAAATGCTAGATTTGGCTCTCCGGATGGTTTTCTGTGCGCTGCTCTGTTCCATCTCTGCGCGCGCATCGGGGTGCCCTCTTCGTTGCGAATGCTCGGAAGCTGCGCACACGGTCAAGTGTGTTTCCAAAGACTTGCGGAGTGTCCCGTCTGGGATACCAGGGTACACGAGGAATCTGTTTATAACGGGAAACCAGATCAGCAGAATTGGACCGGAATCGTTCAAAGGGCTGGACAATATAACCACGCTGTCACTGAGTAACAACCGGTAAGAGAAACATTGCCTAATGAAAAAAAGAAGAATGTTTTGTAGATTAGCCTACTTTTATTAGACTCTCACTTGCCCAAGTTTTTATTTGCCTCAACTTCATAGAGTTTGTCTATATATTTTCACACACTTTTGAATGCGTCTTAACATGAAGCATTTGATGAGTGGCATCCTGTTGTGTTGGGTGAACTTGAATCAACCATGTGCTTACTATTGTGTTATTACTGTTATTATAGACCATAAGGGACTATGCATCCTCTGCTTCATCTGTATCCCTCCCTCCCTGCAGGATAACAGAGGTAGAGTCTCAGACGTTCTCCGGGTTGCGTTCCCTCCGCTCTCTTGACCTGAGCTCCAACCAGCTGGCTGTCATCAACCCAGAGGCCTTCACTGTCCCGGGCCACACCCTCAGGGAGCTCAACCTCAGCCGAGCTCTCTACAACCACTCCTCTCTCATGGACCTGGCTATGTCTCTTCGCTGGTCCACCCTGGTTGAGCTCCGGACCCTGGACCTGTCAGGGAACAGGCTAATCTACCTGCCCTCTCACGCCTTCTCCTACCTGGGGGGCCTGCGGAGGCTCATTCTGGCCAACAACTCCCTGGTGGTCCTCCACAACGGCACCTTCTCTGGGCTGGACTCTCTGGAGCAGCTGGATCTGACCCTCAACGCTCTACGGACCGTCCAGGAGGAGGGCCTGGCTGAGCTGGACTCTCTGCCCCCCGGGGCAAGACTCCTTCTAGGGGAGAACCCCTGGACCTGTATCTGTGGCATGGAGACCTTCACTGCCTGGCTCAACTCCTCCCAGGGGCATGTGGGGGATGCAGAGGGCCTGGTGTGTGCCTTCCCCTCAGACATGAGGAACACCTCTCTGCTGAGGCTGGCGGCTGGACAGGCTGGGGCGGGCGGGGACAGGGTGGCGCTGGGGTGCCACAGGGTGGGTGAGGGGGCAGACCTGGCCCTCCAGACTTCCTACGTGTTCCTTGGGATCGTCCTGGGCTTCGTGGGACTCGTCTTCCTCTTGGTCCTCTACCTCAACCGGCAGGGCATCAAGAAGAGGATCAATGACATGCGGGAAGCGTGCACGGAGGTGTTGGAGGGATACCACTACCGCTACGAGCTCGACTCAGACCCCAGGCTCTCACAGGTCTCCACCACAGCAGACATTTGATGATATCAGGACACTCAAGGGGCTTCCATGATTCTTCTTTCATAATAAAAAACATTTGACTTTTTTTCTATTGCATTTATAAGTAGAGAAGATAATGTAAAAACGGTACATATGAATTGTCTGTAAATATATTCATACAGTAAGTATATGACTGAGTATTGTTATTGTTTTCCCAGTAGCTTTGTCCATGATTAAAGCATGCACTGTCTGATCTGTAGTCCTTCTCAACCAGTCCTCATTTTCAGTCCACACATCGTCTGAGACTGGGGATTACCCATGGCTAACAAATGGGCATGGACTGTGAAAGAGAACTGTTGTGTGGATGGGGGACTGACTGACTGTTCTTCTACATTGATTTCCCCCTCTTAAAAGCGGGGCTTCTCTGTCTGTCCTAGAATGAAGTGTCACGTGAAGGAGTGAAACTACAATTGGACAATATCATTTATGCATGTTTTGATTCTTGGAACTGAGAAAAGATATGGATGAATATACTTAATTCATGAAGTTGAGTAATAAAACTAAAGACTGTTGTTATACATTTCGCCTGCTATGACTTTACTTAAGTATTGTTCTTTGAGGAGAGGTCTTGTAAATGAATATACTATTGCAACCAAGCTCACGTACAGCCAAATTAATCAGCTCATGAGTTGCAAGTTGTGTGTCACCAACCCCTGTGAAACTTAAGCACAATGGCTATGTCTGAAATTGCACCATATTCCCTGTATGGGCCCTGGTCAAAAGTAGTGCACTTATAAAGGGAATAGGGTGCCATTGGGACACAGCCAATCTCTCATTGAGCTCTGAGGGCCAGCTCACCACAGGACTGAGGAGCAGTTCTTTGGACTTCTGTCCCTCTGCCCCAGGGTGCCTGAAAGGAATCCCAGCAGATTAGTCTCCATAGCATTCCAAAGGGAGGAGAACCTCTCCTCTAAGATCTCCTAAAATCAATTCTCTCTCTCTCTCTCTCTCAATTCAAAGGGCTTTATTGTCATGGGGAACATATGTTTACATTGCCAAAGCAAGTAAAATAGATAATAAACATGAAGTGAAATTAACAATCAGAAATTAGCAGTAAACATTACACTCACAAACGTTTCAAATGAGTAGTGACATTTCAAATGTCATATTATGGCTATGTACATGTACAGTGTTGTAACAATGTGCAAATAGTTAAAGTACAAAAGGAAGAAATAATAATAATATGGGTTGCATTTACAATGGTGTTTGTTCTTCACTAGTTGCCCTTGGGGCAGGTCACAAATCTTGCTGCTGTGATGGCACACTGGTATTTCACCTAATATATATGGGAGTTTATCAAAGATGAGAGGAGGGGAAAAAGGAGGACTGTTCATTCAGTTCACACTGCATAGCCACAGTCATCCAGCAACGGAAATCTCCAGACCCTCTTTCATGAAAATGTGCTTTGTTTTAAATTCTCTAGTGTTATTGTCAAGATGATGAGAACCATGACGAGGCTGGGGCTATGGGGCTGTAACTGGGGCTGAGGATGGGGCTTTCGGGCTGAGGCTGAAGCTGGGGGTGCATGGGGCTGAGCCAAAAGTGATCCCTCCTCCTCGAAGACAACAACCCCTTCTCTTTAAAGGAAGGAAAGCCTGGCTGGAGCTGCAGCTTTTTCTGTTTAGGGGACATTTTTCAGTGATAAGGTACAGATGAGTCTGGAACGCCAGCAGCAGAGCAGGCAGCAGCAGTTTTATTGAGAGGCCAAGGACTGCTCTGCTCTTATTAACCAGTGCAGTGGAGGAACTGTTGTTGTCTTCTTACAACAGAAATATACTTTTTTTTTTAACGCTTCAATTATATTTAATTCCTCTACTGTAAACAGTGTTTTTGACCAATTTGTGAAGTGATAGTTGACTTAAATGGGTTGGGCGTACATATGAAGGGGTCCAGTTCTCTTTGAGATGTGCTCTTTGTCATGATCTTTGATGTTTCTGTCATGATAATTGGTACCAGGTTAATGTTCAGCCTGGTGTGTGAAAACTAGAGGGAGAATAAAACAACAAAGAACACATTTCTTATTTATTTCTATCTCCATTTGATGTTTTCATTTTGATTGCATATTTTTTAGTTGAATCAGAAAGCCTACACGTTGTGTCAAATCCTTTTAACCAAATTTGAAATTCTAAAAGCATATTTGAATTAGGTTTTCCTTTTTTATATACACTACCAGTCAAAAGTTTGGACACACCTACTCATGCAAGGGTTTTTCATTATTTTGACTATGTTTTACACTGTAGAATAATAGTGAAGACATCTAAACTATGAAATAACACATATGGAATCATGTAGTAACCAAAAAAGTATTAAACAAAATATATTTGAGATTCTTCAAATAGCCACCCTTTGCCTTGATGACAGCTTTGCACACTCTTGGCATTCTCTCAACCAGCTTCACCTGGAATGCATTTCAATTAAAAGGTGTGCCTTCTTGAAAATTAATTTGTGGAATTTATTTCCTTCTTAATGCGTTTGAGCCAATCATTGTGTTGTGACAAGGTAGGGGGGTAAACAGAAGATAGCCCTATTTGGTAAAAGACCAAGTCCATATTATGGCAAGAACAGCTCAAATAAGCAAAGAAAAATGACAGTCCATCATTACTTTAAGACATAAAGGTCAGTCAATACAGAACATTTCAAGAACTTTGAAAGTTTCTTCAAGTGCAGTCATAAAAACCATCAAGCGCTATGATGAAATTGGCTCTCATGAGGACTGCCACAGGAATGGAAGACCCAGAGTTACCTCTGCTGCAGAGGATAAGTTCATTAGAGTTACCAGCCTCAGAAATTGCAACCCAAATGAATGCTTCACAGAGTTCAAGTCACAGACACATCTCAACATCAACTGTTCAGAAGGGACCGTGTGAATCAGACCTTCATGGTTGAATTGCTGCAAAGAAACCACTACTAAAGGACACCAATAATAAGAAGAGACCTGCTTGGGCCAAGAAACACGAACAATGGACATTAGACTGGTGGAAATTTGTCCTTTGGTCTGGAGTCCAAATTGCATATTCCTGGTTCCAACCGCCGTGTCTTTGTGAGATGTGGTGTGGGTGAGCAGATGATCTCCACATGTGTATGTCCCACTGTAAAGCATGGAGGAGGAGGTGTGATGGTGTGGGGGTGCTTTGCTGGTGACATTGTCTGTGATTTATTGAGAATTCAAGGTACACTTAACCAGCATGGCTACCACAGCATTCTGCAGCGATACACCATCCCATCTGGTTTGGGCTTAGTGGGACTATCATTTGTTTTTCAACAGGACAATGACCCAACCCACCTCCAGGCTGTGTAAGGGCTATTTGACCAAGAAGGAGAGTGATGGAGTGCTATATCAGATGACCTGGCCTCCACAATCCCCCGACCTCAACCCAATTGAGATGGTTTGGGATGAGTCGGACGGCAAAGTGAAGGAAAAGCAGCCAACAAGTGCTCAGCATATGTGGGAACTCCTTCAAGACTGTTGGAAAAGCATTCCAGGTGAAGCTGGTTGATAGAATGCCAAGAGTGTGCAAAGCTGTCATCAAGGCAAAGGGTGGCTATTTGAATATATATATAAAATATATTTTGATTTGTTTAACACTTTTTTGGTTACTACATGATTCCATATGTGTTATTTCAGAGTTTTGATGTCTTCATTATTATTCTACAATGTAGAAAATAGTAAAAATAACGAAAAACCCTTGAATTAGTAGGTGTGTCTAATTTTTTGAACGGTACTGTATATTTTATACAAAATCCTATTAGTGTCAGCTTGGTTTTGCGGTGGTTTGCTGGTGGTAGAGAGAATAGAACAAAACACAATGGCTTGGTCTGAAATACACCCTGTTCTCTATATAGTGCACTACTTTTGACCATAGCCCTGGTCAAAGGTAGTGCACTATGTAGGGAATAGGGTACCATTTCAAACAGACACAATAACTTAATAAAACAGGAAGGTGCTCTACTCTGCTGTGGTTGAATTGAACAGAGTTTGACTCCATTACTCTCTGACTCTGCTGGCCCTCATCACACTGTTGTACCTCACTATCCTCCTGAACAAAAGCTGACTCACTCCCTCTGTGGCCGTGGTGATGTAGGACGTGTCACAGAGAAAGACCTAACAAAGCTCCACTTTTAATTGCATTGTTCTGCTGGCCATGGCCAAACAGAAGCAGGGAGTGCTGCGAGAGAGAGAGAGAGAGAGAGAGAGAGAGAGAGAGAGAGAGAGAGAGAGAGAGAGAGAGAGAGAGAGAGAGAGAGAGAGAGAGAGAGAGAGAGAGCGAGAGCGAGAGAGCGTGAGAAAGAGAAAATAACTTCAGGGAGGGAGAGAGAGAGGAAGAGAGATGTTGAGAGAGGGGGAGGGAGGAAGAGAGCTGTGAGTGTCCGTGTGTGCGCCTGTGTGTGGTCGAAGGCCTATCCTTTACCATATTGAAATGTTATTCAAATCTCTCTGGTAGAAATAATCCAGCATTGTTTACACACTTGGAGTCAGCCATTGTGCTGCATGCTAAAAATGACCAAATAAAGTATTATTTAAAGGTACAGTATTTTTTAAAAGTCTGTCTATGCAATTATGTTCATGGATGGTACTGTGAAGTCTTCAGATCAAATAAGCGAATTGTGTATCAAATATACATTTCCCAAGTTGCAGAACCCAATCTAAGTGGCCATTTACACTGAGAAGAGAAAACAATTGAGGCTACTGCAACAACAAAACAAAGACAGCCTCTAATAGGCTAATGGTAGGTTCTGTGAACTGTGCATTGTCCTCCCATGCTAAGATGCCTTGTGATGTGATAGCAGCTAGCTCCTCCCACAATCATGACTAGTGTGCGTCTGAAGTGGCACCCTATTCCCTTTAGTACACTACTTTTGATGCATATTCCCTATATAGTGCACTACATTTGACGAGGGGCAGTAGTGCACTATATAGGGAATAGGGTGCCAGAGATTGGTGACTGTTGGTCGTTACTTGCCCCTCAGGTTATTATTGGGTG